CGATTTCATTTACATGCTTTTTCTTTTTGCTTATATCTCTATTATTTTTGTTCTTAAATATTCCACATTCAAGAATGGTGAAATGTAAGAACCTGGACGCAAATTATCCTGTGGATCATCTAGCGACTAAAGCACTTTCTAAACATTTTCGTCTCAGCAAATTGTTTTCTCTTTTAATTAGAGTTAAATTTTAAAAATCATAATCGTGGTCAGTCTTATTATCGTGAGCAACTCATGCATTTAATGTGTTGTTTTGTAGAAGATCCCTTTTTTTATTCATATTATCTTTATTTAAATCCTTGTTGTTTCTCCGCTGTATTCCTTGTGGCAATTAATATTAGTAATAAAATAAATTCCTACCTCAAGTTTTAGTTTATTATTTTGTTCTGTATTAAGTCTTTTATTGTTTTAGACCCAGTTGGAAAAAATTTCATGTTAAGATAAATTCTTTCCTGATTGTAGTTGCGTTTTACTCAATTTTTATTCATTTTTTATTCAATTTTTATTCATTTTTTATTCAATTTTTATTCATTTTTTCTAGCATTCGTACAAGTGTTTTCTATTCTGTATACAAAGCATGTAAAAACTGTCCAAAAATCGTCAATGTATATATATATATATTGACAATTTTTGGACAGTTTTTACATGCTTTGATTATAAAATTTCATAAGAAAGGTACCTATAAATTAATTAGATACCCTTCTTAAGAAATATGAAATTTAATGTCACTCAGTTTTATTTTAATTTCTTTACAATATATTTCCCATAAAGCATCATAAACGTAAAGGTGAAAGCTAAGTACAAAAAAAAAAAAAAAATTAGACCGCTGAAAGTTTTCGTTAAAAATAACGGGGTAAATAATTTGTTCACGTAAATGTAAATTATTTCACTTTTCTCCTTCCGTCATATATATATATATATATATATATATATATTGACAATTTTTGGACAGTTTTTACATGCTTTGTATACAGAATAGAATATATATATATATATATATATATATATATATATATAATAGGAAAGAACAATGAGATGTATAATTCAGAGTTGTTAGCGTTCATTTTTATTTAAAAAACAGTGCCCGATACAAAAGTGGAACTTAATATTATAATTGTTCTTTTAAATATATATTATCACCACGACATCGAAATTCCCATGTTTCAAAATTGAAACTTCAATTCAAATTTAATCATAAAAATTAAACTTAAAATACAAAGTTCCGATCCATTAGCATCGCTTGATAATGGAACAGAACGATGTATTTTAAGTTTAATTTTTATGATTAAATTTGAATTGAAGTTTCAGTTTTGAAACATGGGGATTTTGATGTCGCGATGGTAATATATTTTCGAAAAAAACAATTATATATATATATATATCGGGTGTAACAGCATAATTGTCCATCCCACACAATGTTTAATATCTAAAAAAAAACAAAAAACAAAAACACTAAACTAATCGAGTTTCTTTTTTTTCAGATAAGACGTATAACCATTTGTTGTAAGAATCACTAAAAAAACCCTAGAAAGAGAAGAGGTTAAACTTGTTTTGTGTCAGCCCCACTATCTACCCAAATGAGCAATGGTAAGAGGAAAAAGATAATTCAGAACATCAGTAATGGTACGAAAATTCATACTCAGGCTTCCCTCTTCAAATCCATTCAAAAACTATCAAGAGAACGTTGAATAAGTTTTTAAAAGAGGGAACAGTAGAAAGGAAAACTCGATCAGGAGGTCACAACAGGAAGAGGAATCATCATTTCAAGTTTCAGTGTCTATAGAACTAGCCGAAAGTGCTCGGAACAATTATAACTATGGACAATGTCTATATTCTTTAACCCCTGAAAAACGGAAAAATGTTAGAATGCTGGAAAAACTCGATAAAAGATTAATTAAATCTTCCTTGTCGGCCGTTTTCAATGAAAGATTGGGTTCTATAGCAACTAGATGGCAACTAGTCTAAGAGAAGGAAAACTCCGAATTCAAAAATTGCGGAGGATCGTTTTGGGACCTTGTGGCACGTATTGTACCAGGTCTTTGTATTCGGCCCTTCAAAAAGTGTGGTTGGTTCTGCAAAAAGCCTTCACCACTATAATCAAATCACATGTGCTGGTGTCTGGCTGTCGGTTCCTAGAAAGTGAGCTGCTTGACCCTCATACGTCCTATACGACGGGAGAGTCGTATATATATATATATATATATATATATATATATAAACAGTTAGATGTTTTCCATAAAAGCTGTCTGTGTGCAATCTGTGGAGTTAAGCTTCAAGATAGGACATCTAACATAGACCTGTTTAACAGGTGTAATATTGGAGGAATCAAGACTTTTGTCATACAGTCTCAGTTACGGTGAGAATGTCTGATGACAGGATACCTAAGATCCTAATGTACAGCCAGTTAGATCAGGGCTACAGGAATGTAGGATGTCCATGGCTAAGATACAAAGACAAGCTAAAAAGCAACTTGTCAGCAGTCAATATACCACATAACACCCTTGAGCGCTTAGCCTTAGAGCGGGTAGAATGGAGATCAACTTGTTTTAGTGGACTCAGAAATTTTCAATCTGCTTGTCTGAATCATCTTCAAGAAGCGAGAGCAAGATCTAAAAGATCAGCCAATCTAACAGTGATCCCCATCTCACAATCCTCATACTTGCTCCATATGTGACCTCCTTTGTAAATCACTAGTGGGTCTTAAATGCCACTTAAGACTATCGCACAAACTTTCATAACTGATTCAATAAGCTGTCAGATCCTCATACGTCGAAACCGACGGAGAGAGTCCATTATATATATATATATATATATATATATATATATATATATTGAACAATAAGAAAATAAAAAATTAAAATCTTTGGACGCACTGGGTTGTAGATTAATATTCTTTCGTTTTTTTTTATTATTATTCCATTTAGATTCCTCGACTAGTTTCGACCGAAATGGCCATCATCAGGAGAAGAAATATTTCTCCTTGCTGGTAGCAGTGAACTACAGAAATGAATGTTTTGATGGAGAAAATGAGCTTTTGTCTGTAGTTTTCATTTGTTTTTTTTATTTTTTATTTTCTTATCTTTTTAACATGAATCTTTTAACATTCCTTGTGTTGGTCAAACAGTCTCTTTTAAGTTGTTATCTGAAATAAGAGCTGGATAGATACATATTATTCTGAATTCTCTGGTCAGTTTGACAGTTTTATTGGAACTGGTGAGGGGATGTGTCTCTGTTTAGTGTTTGTGTGTGTGTTACTTGGTTCTTAGGGAGTGAGTGAGTATGATATGTGTAAGCGTGTGTATTGCTGTGGGTGTGTGTTATCATTTGGCTCCTTAGGGAGTGAGTGAGTATGATGTGTGTAAGTGTGTATATTCGTGTGTGTGTGTGTATATGAGTGTGAGGCCTCCACACCTCCGTAAGCATGTCTGTCTTGTGTGGGTGAGAAGTGTGGGTAGGTTTTGATTTGTTGACTATCTATATGTTGTTAAATTTATGATTTAGCCCGGATGGATATTGTGTTTTTAGACGTTGTATCCACTTATTTTCAAGGGACTCTAAAATCTTTCTAATGTTATCTGCTCTGAACTTTTCTATTCTCTCAATTTTAGTGAATTTGGCATGGGTTTTGAAATCATGTTTTTCCAGGCGGAAATGTTCTACGGGTAATAATTTTTCATGGGGAGTCGATTTAATTCGCTTACGATAATTATTAATTCTGTAGTGAAAGGGCCATTCAGATTTTCCTACATATTGTTTCTGGCATAGTGTGCATTCTAGGAGGTAAATTATGTTATGACTTCTACAGTTAGAATCGTGGTAGATTTTGAAAGTAGATTTAGTGATTGAGCTAGTGAATGAATTCGTGTTTTTAATATGGTTGCAACATAAACTTCTTTTTGTTGTTACATGGTTGGGAAAATCCTGTTGTTTTTGTTCTTAGTTCATTACGGATTACCTTGTCCCTGAATATATATATATATATATATATATATATATATATATATATATATATATATATATATATTTTGTGTGTGTTCGCGTGCTGGCGCGCGTGTGTGTATGTGTGTGTATATGTGTCTGTGTGTGCTGGCTAATAGTATTATTTTTTGCTTTTGGATGAACAGTCATAAATATAACTCGTCCGTTTACACTTCTTATCCCTGTTGGTAAAATGCTTCGTAATCGAGTTGGTCATTGCGAGATGCAAACAAATAACAATTCTTTGATTCACTTATTTCTCAATTCTCTTATTCGCTAAAACGTCAATTCTCGCATTCGCTTATTCGTCAGTTCTTTTATTCGCTTATCGTGTTTGTTATTTGTTTGTACTGCAATTGGATTGATCTTATTTAGCATCTGGGGCCCGCTGACTCAAATTACCCGCCCTCCAGCTGGCTTGCTTTCCCATTCAACTTAGCCACAACAGCGACACCAGTGAAGTCAATTACAATTTCAATAAGAAATCCATCAAATCCTGAAGTCTTCTTCTTATCACTCATTTATTTTATAAACTGTAGTTTTCTTTTATCCTCCTGCACGCAATTTTTCAAAATGGTAACCGGGGAAATGAAATGGCGGAGGAACTCTAATGGAGATTGAATATAATCAGGTCAAAAATAGCAAAGTTAAGTGGATGACGGTGGCAAGAGGCGGAGTGTAAAAAAAGGAAGGATGCATGTTCATAAAAAGTCAGGAAGGGTGTTTTAATCCGAATTAGCTGATTTCCGCACGATTAAGTCATCAGACACAGAGATTAACGACCATTTATTTTTCCATCAACTTTTCGTCTGTTTTTTTTCTTTTTCTTACTTTCTTTTCCGTTTCTCTCTTTATTTCATAGAGCGGCATTTAATTTGATTGGATCAGGATCTGGTTCCCTGAATTGGCGGAGTGTTGGGAAGGTGAGATTTGTGTCTTGCCAGATGCTCACCAACATTCCATGCCGGGGCTACAGAGTTCAGAAAAACAAAATGTTGAAAGTATTAAAGATGTATGTATGAATGTCATACTATCTATCTATCTATCTATCTATCTATCTATCTATCTATCTAGTTCTGTTCATTATCTATCTATCTATCTATCTATCTATCTATCTATCTATCTATCTATCTATCTATCTATCTATCTATTGTTGCGAGAGTGTGCTGGTTATCTTTAGGTTAGAAAATACCTGTCTTCTGTTATATTTATCCCACAACTAAAAATGGTGGGCTCGGAATATGAGTCCAGGTAATAAAAATAACAAAGTGACGACAAAACTATATATAGTCTGTTTGTGGACGTTTGTGTTTGTTTTCCCCCGGAAAATTAAATTCAGGTCGAGCACACTGGAGAGAATGCCCTAACATGTAAACAATGACTGCTAATGCTAACACTGCAAAACTCTTCCATGAATTGTGCCCTCACGGTCATTGGAGTTTTTATTCGAAGAATATGTACACAAAAATCCGCCTTCCACTCTACCGGTGATAGCTCAGGGGTAAAATCTCAGACTGATGCCAAATCAGTCAGGTTTCGATCCCGGCTTGAGGCAATCGTCGGATTTCTAGCCACACTGATGAGATACAGCGAAACAGTGTGTCTGTGGATGACTATATATACACTGCGTGCCAAATTATTATCGAGATAACAAATATGGCGCCAGTTTGTTTACATTGTGCAAATCAGTACGAACATTTCAGTGATTACGCAGTGATTGTGTGAATTGAAAGTTATCTCGATAATAATTTTACGCAGTATATATATATATATATATATATATATATATATATATATATATATATATATATATATATATATATAAACAAACTATAAGTATGTATTAACTAAACGAGAGTATACATAGCCAATAGAATATTGTTGCGTGTTACAAAATAATGAAGACCAGAAAATATTCAAACTACTGAATTGTTTGTGTGTGTGTGTAATGTGGTGTAGAAGAAAGTGCTAGAGAGAATGAAGTGAATGTTGCGTACGTGCGTGCGTATGTGCTCCCCGATGAGTGACGCAGTCTCGAAATCCGACCTACATCTTACCGTCCCTGTGTGATTTATAGGCTTACAGAGCATCCCCTAGCGCCGTTTTTGTTAGGAAAGTAAGTGGGGTAACTGCACAATACTCCTTCTAGATGGGAAAAAAATTATTTTGCCCATACGTCAATGAAGTTTGTATATGTTTGTTTTGTCCCTCGTAGGCTGAAAAGAAAATGAGTGTGATTGCGATATGTGTTTAAACACGTCGACGCAAATGTACTTGTCTGAAGTACTGTGTCATCAGCGTGTTGTATAATTCTCTAGTGGATTACAGTCGTAGCACACCCTGGAAGATAGATTAGAAAAGAAGTGTTCAGCGGTTGGTATTAAAATTTTGTTTTCCAATGTTCTACGTTGAATTGATTTTGTTTGTAAGGCCTCTTTTGTTTTGATGTGCGTGGATGATGTTGGCGCACAAAATTTCAATAGAAGAAGCGTCGATTTGTAAAGTTGTTGAATTGTTCGCAGGAAGAAATTGGTTGAGGGTAACTTACTTCTGGACGATGGAATACGGGGGGGGGAATGTTGCTGGTTTGCTACTATGTAAGTGGCATGACGGGTCCTAGTTGTGAAGGCTAGACCTGGTGGAACCAGGAGATGTAGTTCGTCTGAGCACTTTCTATGTTAGTAGCGATAGAGAAGTGAGAGACTCGTTACATCCCGCCTGTAAAGAGAGAGGTTGGAGTGTGGAATATAATTCTGCTCCAACAATAACACAGAGATGCTTTTGAAATAGAAGGTGAGATCTGGGCAGCTCCTGCCCAAATATGGCAACAGTACTACATTTTTGACACGGTGCCTCCGCGTAGGGACATCCGTTCATCGTGACTGGCGATAGTTCGGAGTCTGATTGGCGATGATCAAATCTTAAAACATTTTGATGATGACGAAAAATTCTCTGAATCAGTAAAACTGGAGTCATTCCTTTAATGATATAATCTAAAATACACGATAGATAGCTTATGAAAATAGAAATTGAGGAAAATCATTTGAAGACTGAATAATAACGCAATGGATTTAAATAAATAGAAGGTTTTAGTAAAAAAAAAAAATGCTGGAAACATCTATAGCAGTCGTATATATTTCTTATTACAAAAGATTATATTTACTGGATACACGTAATTGAATAGACATCCGTGTTTCTTAAGCAGAGTGATGCGGGAGTATGCAGGCCGAGTATTTAGTTGGAAAACACGTGTCTCCTGGTATAATTATGACACAAAAAAATGGCGGACTCGGAATGTGAGCCCGAGTAATAAAATAAAAAGTAACAACAAGACTATATAAATAACCATACGATAAGTATGTATTAACTAAACAAGGGCATACATAGACAACAGAAAATTGTTGCGTGATCCAAAACAATGGGCGTGAAAGAAGAAAACATTAAAATTTATGAATTGTTTGTGTGTGTGTAGTTTATTGTAGGATAAAGTCATAGAGAAAATGAAACGAAAGGTTCGTACGTGTGTGTACAATGGTGTGCATTCCCAATAGGAAAGCGTTTTCCTCCTTCGACCTACATGTTACCGTCCCTCAGTGAAAAAGGAAAAAGGATATGACAGAGGATATTACTACTTATTTATAGGCTTAGGTGTGTCCACTAACGGCGGTTTTTTTAGGAAAGTAAGTGGGGTAACTCCACAATACTCCCCTCTAGATGGGAAGGATTTTATCCTGCCCATATGTCCATAAATTTTGTGTATGTTTGTTTTGTCCTTTGTAGGTTAAAAAGAATCGAACAGTGTGATTGCGATGTGTATTTAAACACGTCGAAATATACAGAGTCGTCAGGGTGCTTTATAATTCTCTAATGGTTCAGAGTCGTAGCACACCCTGGAAGATATGTCGATAGAATAGAAAAAGAGTGTTCAGCGGCTGGCATTAAAATTTTGTTTTCTAATGCTCCACGTTGAATTGATTTTGTTTGGAACGCCTCTTTTGTTTTGATATGCGTGGATGATGTTGGCGCACAAAATTTTAAACGTCGATTTGTAAAGTTGAGCTGATGTTGATGAAATTTCTACTGCGAGTCGAATACATGTTTGCGAAAACTTTTGAAGATATCTAATATTATTGTCGATTATTCTCGAAGATGTTGATATCTCCGTTTTATTAAATCGTACTTGCAGATTTCTTAGTTTGTTCGTGTTAACATCTTTGAGAAAGATAGGTCAGTGAGTCTCCTTTGGGTTTATTTCGCACTTTATCTGTTGAGCCTAGGAGAAACAGTGCTGTTTAAAGTTGAAAATGGAGTTAACTTTGTGGTGTTTGAATGGGATTTTCTCGCGTGACCGTGAAGAATATGAGCTGCGTTTTGCCTGCTTCAAACTTGTTAGGTGAAAGCTGTATTTTTCGTTTTGGTGAAAAACATTTTTGTGATGTCTGTCAGTGGAAGAAGGAGTCAAGCATAATGGCCTAAGAGAGAGAAAGGGTCAAGCAAAAAGCAGTAGAGATGAGATTCGTGTTACTTGCCTGCTGACCGTGCAATTGTAGTAGTAATTGCAATGGTGACTGGAATTTTTGGCGACACACGTATTGCAAAGCATCTGTTTCCTGACTTGGGGAACATCTTGTTCAGATAGTTACGTTGTGTAGATGTGTTTTGGTATTTTTTTTTTTCAAAGTTGCGATTTTGCTCTTTTCACCGGGTCTGAATGGTTTTGAAGAGGATGAGCCCAACATGCGATCTGAAGGTCGAGAACACTAGAATCAAGCAGACGCGGAAGTTTAAATACCCAGGGAGCGTCTTGACAGACGAAGATAAGCGTGACACTGAGATCCGTAGGCGTATTGGGATGGCCAAGGACACATTTCAAAAGCTGGGCAGAGTACTACGAGACAGGAGGATATTTTTGGTAACAAAGAAAAGAATATTGAACTTGTTACGTGACATCTGTCCTTCTTTACGGCAGCGAATGTTGGACGATTTCCTCAGAGATGAAGAAGAGAGTCGAGACGACAGAGATATGGTTCTACAGAAGGATGCTAAAGATATCAGGGACCGAGCGTGTGAGCAACGATTAGATCTTAGAGAGGTTGCAAACAAGGAGGAGGCTTATAGTTAATATCAGAAAGAGCTGAACTTTCTGGGACACATAACGAGGAAGAAGGACCTGATGAATCTGATACGCACGGGTCGAATAGAGGGAAACAGAGACAAGGGAAGACAACTCGTGACATACCTGGCGGACTTGGGCATGTGGATGACAGAACGTGGTCTGGGGGAGGAAGTAGAGGGAAGGAACTTGTTGAGAGCTGCAAGGTATAGAGGGAGGTGGAGAGCCATGATCGTCTACGTCCTGAAAGGACATGGCGCATAAAAAGAAAGAAGTTTTTTTTTTTTTTTAAAGTTTTCCATGTCCGCTGAGCGTGGTAGGGTAGGTAGAATAGTGGCTCGAAGTTTTCTTCACTGGCTCTCGGTTTGAAAAAGTATCTAAACGATGCACGAGTTTGTTTATATAGTTTTGTGTCTTTCTTGTATTCAGGAGAAAAATGTCGCGTCGTGGTCATTAATCTGTTGCGGGTGACATGACAATATGTGAAAGAAGGTAACACTTAAACTAGTGAAGGTGTTTGTGTAGAAGTAAGTGTAACAAGCGAGTGTGATAGACGCATGTGTATATGTGCACGTGCGTGAGGGAATTCAAACCCAAGAACCCAAGAAAGCGAATGCGCCTCAGCGTTCTTATTTACGTGCGACTATATCTGAAATCTAGAGAAAAAAAAAGGAGAGAGAGAGAGAGAGAGAGAGAGGGAGAGGGGGATATATATATAGATAGAGAGAGAGAGACAGAGACAGAGAGACAGACAGAGAGACAGAAAATGTCACTGCCTATTTACAGGCTTAGGGAGCGTCCCCTACCGACGGTTATTGTTTTAGGAAAGTAAGTGGGGTAACTCCACACGATCTATCTATCTATCTATCTATCTATCTATCTATCTATCTATCTATCTATCTATCTTTTTGCTGATAAAAACATTGCACATTTTTTTTAAAATAAACCTGTGTCTAAAGTTTCATAGTCAAGATTGTAGTCATAAATTCTTTCAGTTCTTGTATTTGTCATTCTATTTTCGAAAAATAATTTTACATTTTATTTTTTTTCAAAAAATGGAGTTGCTTGTCTTTTCATACTTTCATTCTTTGTTTTGTAGGTGACTTTTTTGTGGCTGAGAACCATTGTTGAGAAAATATCGGACACTCCTCTCTTCCGTAAAATTCGTTTATTCACTGGAACAACTTACAGCAAGATGGACGGTATAATAAATAATTATATACTACTACTACTACTACTAAATATTCAATAATAATATAATATATATCACTATATATAAATATAGGTAACTATACTCGTTTCGAAAAACCTTCGAATTTTTGATTTGCCAATAATCAAATCAATCTCGAAGCTCTTTTATCACTATATATATATATATATATATATATATATATATATATATATATATATAGTAAATAATAAAATAATATACATCAATATATATATTGAATAATAACTCAATAAAAGAATAAATATTCTTGTATTATTTTCCTATTATTTAAGTTATTTAAAGCATATAGCAGTCCATTTTTATTGACAGAATTGTACATCTTCATTATAAAAAACAAACGACATGCGTAGTGCTTGGGCTTTGTTCTTTGTTAAGGGCTGCGGCTGGGGTCTTAAAAGGGGTTTATGCTATGACCGAGGGCATAATCATAGTTCTTTTTTTAGAAAATATTTTAAACTTTATATTCTATGTCTTGTTACACGTATTTTACACAGTATTTTCAATGGTTGTATCGATCCAGCGAATTTCTAAAGAAGAAGAAAAAAAAGAAGACGAAGAAGGAGAAGAAGAAGAAGAAGAAGAAGAAGAAGAAGAAGAAGAAGAAGGAGAAGAAGAAGAAGACGAAGAAGAAGACGAAGAAGAAGACGACGACGACGACGACGGCAACGACGCTGTCACTCTATCCTACATAGGGTTGGGGGAGACTCTGCTTGGGGTAATACTGGACTGGTTGGCAATGACTACTGATTTAGATGCGGGGCCTCATGCAAAAATTAAATAACCCAAGCGTTAAGGTGCCGTAAAATCAACAACATATGAAAAAGTAAGTTTACAATAAGTGATAATTGCTATTTTTATGGATATTATTTTGTGCCATTTGAAATAAAAATTCAACTTATAAAACATGCTTGACAGTTCAAATCAACGTTCCATTGGAAACTTTTTTATATAAGTTACAGAAATGGTAGCAAAATATTTGTTCCGCGGAGAAAATTATTTGAATAATAACCAGCGTGCCGTACCAAATAAATACCGAAGATAGTCGTGGTTTGCGAAATTGAAGGAATCAATCGAACCGGTACTTGATTTCGTATAGAAGAGTATTAACCTATTTCTTTTAAAGGTATCTATCGGACCCGAAAGACAATCATGATGATCTTTTTCTTTACATAACTGGCATTTACAAAGTCACCCTACACCCTATACAGTGACCCCCCCCCAAAAAAAAACAAAAACTATTCGCGTTTTAGCATCTGCGGTTTCACACATTCGCGGATTTTTCTTTAGAACCTATGTACTTGTTATTTGCGGAAACCCCGAATATTCGCGTGTTTTTCTGAAGAACATATCTACAAATTATTCGCTCCCTCGATTCGCTTATTTCCTTCGATAGAACATATTTAAAATATTCTTGTATTATGTTCCTGTTATTTAAGTGACTGGAAGCATATAACAGTCTATTTTTATGGTAAAAATTGTACAGAATTGTACATCTACATTGTAAAAAACAAACGCAAAGACATGCATAGTGCTTGGGCTTTGTTCTCTTTTAGGTGCTGTGGCTGGGATCATAAAAGTCACTTAAGTTAATTCTGGGGGCATCGTCACAGTTCTGTTTTTAGAAAATGTTTTAAACTTTATATTTTATGTCTTCTTACACATATTTTTATACAGTATTGTCAATGGTTGTAACGATCTATGCGTAATTAAAAACGGTTATTGTACGTATGAAAGAAAATTTACGCTAAGTGTATGGTCACCAATACTATTTTTCGAAAAATGTTTTTAAAAGGGTCTGAAATGTTTCTAAAGTGTTCAGGGTGAAAGATTAAGACATACGGGGTTTTACCAATCAAAATAGGTACTTATATGCATTTTTAGGATTCGGTAAAAGTATTCACGGATTCTAACTTTACGTGGCCAGTTCTGGTCCCTAACCCCCGCGAATACGGGAGGGAATTACTGTATATGTAATTTATTAAGACCATTCAATATATTGTCCCGTTTTTCTTTTTGGCAATTAATTTACTTTCCTCTGTTAAAGTATCCTCTCTCTCTCTCTTTCTTTCTCTCTCTCTCTCTCTCTCTCTCTCTCTCTCTCTATCTATCTATCTATCTATCTCTATCTCTTTGTGGCAAGTTTCAAGTTCAAATTTGGCTGGGAAGGAAGAGGCTGGAATAGAGTTCCACAAGCGAGAAGTGCATGAGAAAAAAACCGTCAGCATAGAACTTGCGGTTACGTCTAGCCGTTTCAACTGTAAAAGGATGAGACTTAGTTGCCAATCTAGTACTGAAATATTACTAAATGTAATACATAGAATGAAGTGAAAAAAAATGACTACTTGTCATTTTCACTGAAACTGATAATCGATATAGCATGATTTTACATCATCAGAAAGAGTAATTCTTATTTGATGACTGATATAGTTTTTACTTTTTTTATCCAGATGTTGCATATAAAGCAGAAACAAATAGCAATAATCGATTTCTTGGCCCCAAGAAGTATTGTACCGCTACCGACATCTACAAAAACCTTGGGGTGGGGCGACAGTTCATGCATGCGCGAAGAGGGGTAGAAAAGCTCTAAAAGAGGTGAAAGGTTAAAGACAAACTGCGGAGTGAAAGACCATTGCCAAACCACGGAGTATCTGAAAAAGGTTTTCCAAAATGGGATTGACAAGTGGAATCAAAGATAACGAAACTATATCGCCACAGGTGGAGACATATTTTGAATGTTGTAAGGAAAGAATTATTCCACACATGGATATGGTGTTTACTCGTTCCCCAACTAGGACGAGATGTGACTCGTCCTGGGTAAGACGTTAAACTACATCTGCGTCCTGGGTAAGAAGATAAATTACGTCCAGCAGCAAGGCCTCTGATCAGGATGTTTGAGGAGCGTGGAACCACCTCTTAATTGCTGGTGTTCCCAGGTCCACCCTGACCCAGGGTGGTAGCACCTGTTAGGGTTCCAGCTATGGGCAAATAGTTAACTATTACCAGCAATAATTTTTTGAAAAAGAATTATTACCAGTAATAAACAGAAACAGATTTTTGACAAAACAAAATATTACCAGCAATAAAAAATGTCAGCATTAAATAACGCATTGAGGTTGATATGCCGTAAAACAAAATAAATCAAACAAATCTAAACCAAAGAATACATATTCTATTCATATGAATCTATCCTAAAAATGTTATCGGCATTAAATAACCCATTGAGGTTCATATGCCGTGAAAATAAAACCAAACCAAACCGAGATGTGACACAAGGTCTTTTTAAAGTGGGGACCCGAGCGCGTGTACCCGGGCAAGGGACAGAAATTCCCCTCAGCCCCCACAAACGTCGGTTGCACTGGCCTCGGTGCGAGCACCGATTCCTTGCTTTGGTGCAATGGGAAGGCGCGGCCTCGGGCAGCTGTTCCTCAGGGCTGGGCACCTCTCAGTATAATTTTCTCAGTTGCCCCTCTGTCCTTTGCCCTGTGCGCACTCTGCCCAAAGACAGAGACGCAACTAAGAGATGATAAGCCTGCGTTAGAAACTCCTCCAAGGAGGAAATTTATACGCTATCCACACATGCATACTATTTCTTATGTCCTGTTTTGTTAATGAAGGGTTTATGATCTGACAGGTATTAGGACAATCCACGTGGTATTCGAAATTCTTAGATGGAGCATTATTAATTTTAATGGCGATATATTTAAGTAAATTTGCAATGGCGTTGTACGTCGGAAGATTGCGCGCGCACTAACATCAGATAACTTTCTTCAAAGTAGTCAGCTTTGAGTGGTCGTTTTTTAAGCTGTTGATCTTGACAGGACAATTCATACAAATCGACACGCCATCATTTTCATTGCCTGTTTGCTTGATTGTTTGAGTCGATTTATGGCTTATTTGCAGGTTATTTAAAGCCAGAAAATATTTTTAGATTGTAAGAGTTTTTTAGGGGGAGTGCGGAGTTGTTAATGGTTTAGTGATACAAGTTTTACTAATTAACCCATAGGGGGAAGAAGAGGTAGATTCATACCTTTGCCAAGGGTATTTATGCGTAAGTAAATATAACGAACTCAACGGAAATTGGGGACACGGCTCCCGGATTAAAAATTCTGAGCCATTATCAATTATACTACTTGCACATCCATGCTTACAGCACCTGGTATTCCCACACGGTCACCCATCAAGGTACTGAACATTTAGATTAAATATCGTCCGGAAAAAAATTACAGATATATCTAATTTCCGCAGGTTTTTGCTTAGAAACTGGCGTTAACATTTTATTTCAAGAATAAATCCAAATAAAGTTGATATTTTTCTATTAGATACATTGAATGGAAAATGTATTAAAACCAGAATTTTAATTATGAATTACCACAAGTAAAATATGCATTTTTTTTATTCAATAAGTAAAAACTGTGTAAAAAAAATTGTAAAACATTACAAAAAAGGCTACTCAATGAATAAAATTTGTTTGATTATTTGTTAAATAACAATTACTAAAAGAAAAGAAAAAAAAGCTAAAAGTGTATAGGTTGGCATCTCGCTCTCACCTTTTCACTGTCGAAATTGTTAAATGTAGCCGTCTCTTCTACTCCAATAGTTTCATAGCTCGCACTTCTCGCCTGTGGAACTCCCTCCACTTTTCTTCTTTCCCTGATAGCTATAATCTCCAACTATTCAAATGTAATGTCAATCGACGTCTCCAGATGCCTTGATCTATTCCCTAACCTTCTCTTCATCCTTCCCTATATCACTCCTCTTTGTTCTCGCTCCAACTCTCTATAACCCCTTTCGTACTAGTGGCTTCCCGCCTTGCCTGGAGTGAAACGCTTAAAAAAATCCCACCATAATATTGCTAAAAGGGCAACATTTTATAAGACAAAATATTTAAAATTTGCATTGTTTACTGAAAATGACGTTAAGACTACTGCACTGAATAATATATTACATAATCATAATATAGGTAAATTGTTCAGGATAATTTTCCTTTGAAGTAAATGAAAGTCTTATTTGATGGTACAATGATTTAGTAATAATGTGCTTGTGTCTTGTATCTTGTCCATATATAATTTGTAAACCTTCAGTAAATTATAAATATTATAAGGTCGTGCTATAAGACTTTCACGCATCACTGGAATTACTACACTACAATTACTGAGGACACACGAAAGGCAAGAAATCAACGATTTGGGCTTAAACTTATTTTTTTTAAACTTGTCTCCTCAAAAAACAGTAACGATATGGAAAAATATTTTGTGTCGTTATTTATCCTGTCAAACACCAACTTTCAAATTGAGGGCAATACCATGGTTTCAAAATAGACATTGCTAAGTTATCGTTTTGACTTTCCAGCATTCAATGCCATGGAAGAGATTAGCTATTGCATAGCAGTTCAGCACTCTTTTCTTTACTTCTAACTTCCTGTCGCTTAATACTTTGCTTAGTTTAAGGAATTGAAAATAACATTTGAAAACGTAGCAAAGACTGATGGACTGCTATGTAATATATCATCTTCGACAGTGTATTTAATGCTGGACAATTTCTTTTCACAAACAAATAAAACAATTTAGCCAACCGAGATGGGGGTTCTACCAACGAATGATGAGAATGCCAAGAAATAAACAAGAAATTTTTAAGACGAATAGGAACGATAAAGAAATAATCAGAAACATATACATTTTTGGGGACATTATGAAAGCAGAAGGCTCAGAGAATTTAACACTCACAGGACACACTAAAGGCAATAAATCAACAAGGAGAACAGCAACAAATCAATTTTTTTCACTAATGTTCACCTCATGCAAGGCCCAAGAGTCACTCAAGGTAGAGGATTACTGTTTGGTGTTGTATGAACGTAAGAAGTTCATGAGGAAAAATTGTAATGTTCGGGATTACATCCTGTCAGGAGTCTGTTCCACAAAGCAGCAGTCCCTGTGAATAAGCTGTCCGAGTGGAACTTACTTATTATTAATGGAATACGAAGGCGATGGTGTATGATTCATCCTTGGGTACGTGGTATGGTGGGTCCCAGTTGTAAATGCCAGGGCTGGTGGAACCAAGGAATGTAGCTCGTTAGAACACTTGCCATGGAAATAGCGATAGAGCAGTGAGAGACGAGACGTTTCGTCTGTGGGAAACGGGTTGTAGGGTGGAAAATAATTCATCATCCACAAGGCTTCGTAGACGCTTCTGGAGTTTATCAAAAAAGGCAAATGAGGACTGGGCAGCTCCAATCCAGTTATTATAGTAATTCTTCATTTTTGGTCGGATCTGGCTCTTGTAAAGATAGAATATTGTAGAGGGAGTCAGATACTTACTGGAGCGGTACAATGAACCGATCATGTTTTCAGTATCTTCAGCATTAGATCGCATATATGTGTCCCACTTGAGGTCTGGAGTGAGTCCCAAGTCCCAATAGATATTCAAGGCAAGGAGACGTCTTCAGAGAACATCCACCCGTCATGATAGTTGAAAGTTCAGTGATGGTGGAAGTTACTAGTTTGTTTTTGGAATTATCTACTTGACATTTGATTACTCTAATATATAATATACATAGTACATTTTGGGAGAGATTGGATAGCGACTTGAATTGAGAAATCGGAGAGCCGAGTTCGAATTCCAGTTAGGTTCATTATATTCACTTATGTGCTAATATTCATGGGAAAGATATGAATTCAAATATTCCCTCCCAGCAATGAGTAAATAGCAGGAGAGACTGGGTCCAATGGCAACCTGTCTAGAAGGAAAACTCTGAATTCAAATCAGTCTGGAGAGGTCAGTGGTCTTGTCCAGGTAACACCACCGCTGCTACGACTGCATAATATATAAATGTCTCTACGACCCTAAACACGCTGTCATCATCTCATTTCTAAAGGAAGAAGCTCCCCTGTCTCCTCTCCTATGGATGTCTGTCCTATCATGGTTTTGATTAAGGTTAAAGTGAAGGACTGATTCGTAATATCTAATCTCCAATACGAACTGGAATATTGAACAGTTCTGTCACAGATGAAGAATAGACTTGGAGTGGCAGATGAATTTTAACGTGCTGAGAATAGACCATGGGCAGTGTAATTGGGAAACAACGGAGGTTTACGGAGAGCAGACACTGCAAGGAGACGATTGCTAACAATCAGAAAGTGTCAACTGAACTTATAACGAGAAACTTGACTTATAACGAGGAAAGAAAGCGAGGCAAAATTAACACTCACAGGGCATAATGAAGGCAATAGAAGCAGCGAGAAACAGAGAGTAACCTACTTGAGTGGATGGCGGAACAACCATTGCAAAGGCAAAGCAGCGTGTGGCATAATGCCAAAAAGGAATACGTATTATTTAAAGCAACGAAAGAGGGGAAGATATGGAGAGCCATGATCGCCCATGAAGAGAGAGAGAGAGAGAGAGAGAGAGAGAGAGAGAGAGAGAGAGAGAGAGTCGATTTATTGTCGTTTTTCTAATTTTCGTTATTTTTTCATCATTAGAAGATACACTTTTCATTTTACACATACACACACACACATATACATATACATACATATATATATATATATATATATATATATATATATATATATATATATATATAGATGTATG